TGCGCATCAAACGCTAATTTCTCCAGTACTAGACTAGCAAAATACATTCGTGTTCATGATTAATTCATTCTACTATTCTTTTTTTTTTGAGTGGTGGTGGGGGTTTCGGCCAAAAAAACCTGTCGTTTCTCCCATTTCACTGCGCGTTTTGCATAAAAAACCCACAAGAAAAACGATGCGTAATCTTGCTGTAATCCTGGCGCCACGCCTAAATTGTTTTGCCAAATCAATTTCGCCAAGAATTATTTAGGTAGACGTCACATGTTTTTTGTCTTTAACTCCACCCGTACCGCCTGTAACCGTGCAGCACGCCTGCACGTTGCCTGTCAGAGCACACGCCAAAACTGTCGAACAAACATCGGAATTGAACAACATTGCGAGTAGTTTCACATGCGCATTATAAGCACAAACGCGCCAGTGAAATGGAGGAACGTACTAGAGCTTTATTTGTCACTAAGGTAGTGTGATTATGCATGACACGGAAGTATTTGCTAAGTCTAGTTACTAGAGAAATAGCTTTAGCGCATGCGCATAGTGCCGGCTTTAAACTTGGTTGTATAATACTTTCGTGTTATTACCATCATTTTACTATTGAAACGTTCCAAGTGTACTGTTTGTGTAGAAAATAACTAGATTTGATCAAAAACTGTTCAAAATTCTAGCGTAAAACGCAATCGCTCTGCCGTCATTTGCCAAATATTCAGCTCATTCGAAATAAATATCCTACGTAGATAGTGCACCTCGGGATTTTATATACTGGACTCCCGGAAGCTCTAGAAGTAGCGTTTCAACATATGAACGTTAAATAGTGAAACCATATTATGAGGGAACATAAATAGTTCATATTGATCGAGGAGAGGGAGACGGGAAAGTGGCGAGGGTGAGGCAGGAGGGGAGGAGAAGGTACAGAACGAAGGGGAGAGGCTATATGAAGTGAAATGGAGAAGGAACGAAGTACATAATTATATAAGGGGAAACGCATTCGTAAAGGTATCGACCCGGCTCTGCATCTAACTACATTTCGTCTGCTTTTACGTGACATCGCCATATTATATAGAAACACAAGCAAACATAATTATACTCTAATGTCTTTCAGAACATAATACGTAAGCGTCGCCAGCGTAGAATTCTAGTGTCCGCACGAGGGCAACACTGCCCAGAACGCCGAGCGAAACTGGCTACTCCTCCCTGCATATATCAAGAAGTTCATGAAGGAGTTGGAGAATGCCAGCACGTAGCCGACTCCACGCAGTAGATCCAGCAGCTCGTGTCGGATGCCAGCTAGGTTCAAAGCCATCATTAATAAGAACGGCGTCCAGCAGACGAGGAAGGCGCCGACGACAATGCCGAACGTC